TGAATTATAATTAAAGTGTCCTCAGTGTAGACCTGCAAACAGACAAATGAATGTGTTGGGTTTTAATAAATAGTGCTGGCAGGTTTTCACTTCTGTTAATTAGAACGGCAATCAACAGCTGCTTTCGTTAACAATTAATGTGACCAAAGTGAGAAATGACATCATCAGTATCCTACAGCTCAACATGTTCTGATCTCTTATGGAGATATTTTTTTTTAACCAAATTGGTGCGATATAAATACAAACTATAACAGAACCCTTTTTGTGGATCATTTCTAGAATCGGTGTTGAATTCCATCAGCAGCTCTGACCGGCTGTAATCGCTGATCGTCACTCTTCTCTGAATCGGCTGATTCTCATAATGTGATGAATCAGTCCAGTCTCACCATGTTGTGTTGTTTCTGTCAGTTACCCTCAGCTGAGCTCACTGAGGGTGAAGGAGCTGTGTGAGCTGCTCAGCTACTGGAATGGATCCAGCTTTATCTGCAAGAGCCAGGTCAGACTTGAATAAGCTACAGAAACATGTTAATCATCTACTGTGACGTTTCTCCCTGAAGCAACTGTTTTAAACATGTGGCTTCTTTTTGTGTTGTCAGATTGAGCGATTTATCAGAATGGGAATTCCTCCGACTTTGCGAGATCGAGTGTGGAAGTGTCTTCTCAGCACCGACAGTCTGAGAGAGAGCAGTGACTTCAACTACCAGGTAACAGTACAAGAGGAGATGTGAAAGTGAAAGATACGATTGATCTCCTGTGCTTTTACTCACCACATTGTCCAGAATTGAATTAGTAACTGGAATCACACTCAGTAGAGCTCATACCTCCACTAATGACTTAAATTATGCCAGAGGATGATGAATCATCAATTTATCTGAGTAAGATGTAATCCTGGCTCTAATCTTACTGGTTGCCAACACATGCCTATATGATGTCATTTTCTGACTTCATAGTTACATCATGATGATGTAATTCCTACCATATGGCCTCATGGGATTTCACCGGGTACTCCAGTTTCCTCTCACAGTCCAAAGACCTGCAGATTAAGTTAATTGTAGAATTGCCCATATGTGTGAATGTGAGTGTGAATGGTTGTTTTTCCTCTGTGCGACCTTCCCTCACCATCTGCTGTTCATTCATAGCATCATGTGTGTCCTGATTAGTTCCTAACAAGCTCTTCCACCTCCAGAGGTGCTTGTTAGAGGTCCGAGGCCCCCTGGTGGACTTAGGTGTGAGTGAGTACGGCATCCTGTCCGCAATAGCAACACTCAGCGAAACACAGAACGATCTGGACTTGAACCATCAGCAATCGGCCGACTGCCCTGAGCCCTGCTACTCTGTAGACGACATAACATTGTTTCGACAGATCGCCTTGGACCTGCGTGAGTTTAAACTGATTCCATCAAAAGCTTGGTTTGTGTTTGTTCATCTTTTTTTTTTTTAAATAGATTTTTATGCCTCTGCAGAAACAGATTCTAGATCTGTTGTTGAGTGAAAAAGTGGAAGAGCGCTTATGTTTAATATAAATTTGACGTGTGTCACAGAACGCTCCTTCCCCACTCACCGCTCTCTGATGGGGGAGAGCCCAGAGGCCATCGAGGGTCAGGCCAAGCTCTTCAGGGTCCTCATCGCCTACGGCAAATACAACCCACAGGTGGGATACAGCCAAGGTAAGTGACTCAAACATCACTTTTCTATGGTGGCCAGTACTTCTAATTCCTCCATGAGATCATTTAAAGTAGTTTACATTAATTAATACTAAACTAGAATTGTTAACGTTTGACTACAATGTAATTAGTGTCATCGTCATAGAGACTTCATGATAATCATTTGCCCCAGATAGCTGCAGTACACGATGTGACCACTTGATGGAGGCAGAGGATTATTAAGATTCAGACTTGACATGTTTTTTGGATCCATCCACAGTGGAGATATATTAGAGTTTGTGTATTTTGCATTGTCTGTTTTACTTTTTGTGATATACCACTGAGTGGAAAATCTTTTCAAATGAAACCAATTTCTTCTTGACTGAAACAGTACATCTCACTTACATTTTACAGTCTGCATTATTTAATCTCTGCATTACACTGTGGCCTGTGCTGCCTTCACACACAGTTTATTAAATTGAGGGCAAAGATACTGATGAGGGCAGATATTCATAGTTTGCTCTACAAAGCACACTGAGGTTACACATCGTCATCCTGCTCAGCAGTTTAACCTGCTGATGCTTCTGCACGTACACATTTTTAATACGGCGTATAAAACATCCTATATGAAAAATGTACTTGTGTACACACAACCTTTGTGGGTTTTCTCATGGGACTTCTGATATAAACACTGACCTTATGAGGACCAGTCGTCCTCAAGGGAACAAAACCAGGTCCTAATGAGGCCGTACGTCTTCTCTGAGGTCCTGGTTCTGTTTAAGGGTAGGGTTAGGTCATCCACAATGAATGGACATTGTGTCTGTGTGTGTCTGTGTGTTTCACAGGGATGTCCTACATAGCTGCTGTGCTGCTGATGCAGTTGGGAGAGGAGGAGGCGTTCTGGGCTCTGACGGCCTTATTGGATAAACCTAAATATCTGGCTGAACTCTTTGACCTCAGCCTCTCCAAGTAAGAGTGTGTGACTGAATATAACAATGAAATAATATCATAAACTAAATCTTGGAGATGTGAGAGGGACTTGGTAGGTACGTTTAAACCACAACATTTAATTAAAGGAGAATCAAGGAAAGGGACATTTGGTGATTTATTTTTTTAAAGGTGTTGTGTCATGAAGTGCATCAAGAAACTGTAACTGATGACCTCGCACAGCACAGGCAGCAGAGGTACAGAGAAATTGGACTGTGTTTCATGGTGCAAATAAATATTATCTTTTGGGTCAAAACAGGAAGACGGAAGTGATTAAATATTTATTCAGACTAGTCCAGAGAAAAAGCAGCGTGACACGTAGCGACACAGCCTTTGCATAAAGATGTGGGAAAGCGAGGTAATGATTGTAATCCTTCACTAGTACGGATTTGATTCGTCATTGTTTATAATAGAACTCTACAATAGCAGTATATGCTACTAACACTATGAGCTAGGCCCTTGAAAACTGTATTTCTCGCCTGCATGTAATGGACTTTAACAAGATATCAGATATGATGCAAAGCTCATATCAATGTGGCCTTTATTTCTAATCATTTGTCAATCGTACATTTCAATGTTTAAAATTCTCGAAAATTATGACTCAATGCTGTTGTTTCCATTCAGGGTCCAACATCAGGTGAAGGTGTTCGACCAGTTCCTGAAACACAGGAAGCCGAAGCTCTCTCAGCACCTGGTGAGTTTCTCTGAATGTTTTCTTTGTACAGACATGAACCGAAATCTTCCAGAGTTCCAGTCAGTATCTCTGGACCAGAACTCTTCCTGCCCAGCCCGTAGTTAAATGTCCAGAAAATGTCAGAGTGAGAGACACGGCAGGAAAATATCCTTGTCAAGAGAATGTGTGCATGAGTTTTCATAAGAGTGTATTTGTGTTTGAGGCCATATGACCAAGTGATGAGTAGTTCATCTGCACAGGAGGGGCCACTGTAATGTATCTGTCATCAATGGGGCCTCCTCTGTCATTCACTGTGTCAGCTCCAGGCTCAACCAGCGGTATCACTGGTTGTTCTGTCGGGCACAAGCCTTCAGCTGTGTAATTTTCCCCCTCTGTCCCTGCTGATATTTAACAACTGTGCGGCTACTGAGGGCATTTACAGAGTCTCACTGCAGACACGCGAAACCTTTAATGATAAGTGATGCCGTAAAAACTCAATTTATATCTACAAAAAGAATTTCATGACACTAGATATTTTTTTGCCTAAAGAAAGACAGCTTCTCTCAACAAAACGTGTTCAGTTTATTAGAGACAGTAAAATGTTGTTTTATTGGACCTCATGATTCTGTCATGTTCTATTGAAATGTGTGTTCAGCGTGAGACATAAAAGTTTCTAAATGTTGACATCAGTAGTTCGTGTCCTTGGGAAATCTACAAAGGTCTGAAAATGTCCCTGGAATGAAAAGATTCTTATTTTTAGTCCTTTTTTTTTTTTTTTTTTTTTTTTTTTTTCTAAATGTTGTTTTGCTCCAAAAAACAGTTTAATGCATCTCAAGAGAAAACAAGGTCCTGTGATGTGGCTCAGAAGATGATTCTGGTAACTGAAGTAAAGAGCTGATGAAACATAACAGAGCTGCAAAGGATTTCTCAAACTAAATAAAAATAACAGTTTTTAGATACCGTCAGCGGCTCGGCTCTGTGGAAGGAAATGCTGATTTGTTAGTTGTTGGTCAGGTTCTCTTTGGTGATATCTCAAATCAACTTATTGACACTGAGAAAAGAATAAAAGAGTTTGGTTTGTTGTGAAACTTGTGGGTCAGAGATGTCAGCTGTGGGCGGTCCTTCATACTTCATGGCCCAGGATGCATTTTAAGAATGTGGCCACAGGCGTCCCAGACCACCTCTGAATGTGTTCTGAGTGACTGGACCTCAGGACACAGTCCGACCTAAACTTAGAGACCCCTTGTGATTGCATCACTCAGGACGTGAATGCTAATACCAGGTCTTCAAGTGGACAGGCATCGTTCATCTTTATTGACCGTTTGTTATGAAAATGTTAGCATGGTTATTTTAGCATTCCGCTCAAAGTAGAGTTGTGCTGCCTGAGCTGCAGAGTCTTAGTTCTCTATGATTCTCTTAACGTCTTATTGAAAGCGACAAATCTTCCTCCCTTCAACGTTGTTCTCCACTGTTCAAACTCTGCACGTGTGCACACACTGATGCATTCAAGGCCTCGGTCAAAGCTGCCTAAGTGTCTTTGACAGGTTTGTTAAAGCTCACGTTGACTCAGCAGGTCTGGAAGGAAAGCTTCTGGAGCCAAAACATCAACACACCTACACACACCACGGAGCCTTGTTGTCGGCACAATAATTTCCCCCTCTTACAGAAATCCTATTAGAGATCGGAGGTCAGCGTTTCCTTTGTAATGGAGCTGTTCAGCACAGTGAAGGCAAGCAAGCGGTAAACAGGTTTTTGCCTTACACTCCAGATCTGAGTAGACGGAGGCTGAGTGCATTGTGAGTCCTTCCAGTCCACGAGCTATACAGCTTATGCTTTGAGTGTCGAGTGGGGTCTGGAGCCAGTCTGACCTTGGGCTGGACGGGTTCACCAGTCTGTCACAAAGCTGACATATAGAGAAACAACCGCTCAGCCTCACATTTACACCGACGCCACGTCTCTGGACTGTGGGAGACAGCCAGAGTACCAAGAGGAAACAAATACCGGCACGCTGAGAACACAACTCACACAAACTTTCAGGTTCAAACTGTAGACTGTTCATGTGCCCCCTGGTGGCTGGCTGCAATATAGGCTGTAATCCCTGTCTTCTCCTTGTTAGGAGATGGGACATGGACAGAACTAGAAATGTGAAGCACACGTTAAATTATCCTTAAATATGGTTTCTGTCATTTTAGGTAGTTCTTATCATAGATGTATGTTTAAGTGTTACTGTTACTACTACTGTTACAAGCAGTGACTATTACATATAATTATTTAAAACTATTTTTACACCAAGATTAGTGTGTGTATGTGCATTTTTTTTTAAACTCCAGTAAACTTGCTATAAGGCTTTAAAATGGATCCATTGTGTCTTTTCCTTGTGGTTGTGCTCTTGTCATTTATTCTAGGAGGTCAGTGAAGGAGACTGACAGGAACTGGCAGAGAAAGAAGTATTGAATAATTTGTTTGGGTTATGTTAAAATCTCCCCTCCTTGTTTTCCTAACCTCCCTGCAGGAGTCAGTGGGAGTCTTATCAGTCCACTTTGTGATGCCATGGTTCCTCACGCTCTTCACTTCCCTGCCCTGCTGGGATTCTGTCCTTGCCGTCTGGGATCTCATCATACTGCACGGTATTTACACACGCACACGTATACGCACGTACACACATGTACAAGCAAACAATGTTTAATGAGTTGATATTTAACAGACTTAATGTGTCTTATCTCTGTCTTATCGCTGCGCAGCACAGCACAGTGTTAATTCATGTGATAGCAATCATGTTTGAACATGCCGCTGTTCCTCCTCAGGCCTGTCAGCTGTGTTTCGTATCGCTCTGACCATCATCGATCTGTTGGAGCCTCGATTGATGGACCAGAACGACGAGGGAGCAGTCTTACCCCTGCTGTTGAGAGTCCCTGTTGAAGTGTAAGTGAAGTTGGGCATGCAACAACATTTTTAATGTACACTCAGTGGAATTTTTTCCTAACAACCATTGCTCGTTAACTGAATACCATTAACCAACAGGAAGTGTCAGACGCTTCAGTGGACAGTGGAAACATCCATTCTTGCAAGTCTTTAGAGTCTTTGGCAGTGACATGTTGACATAACTTTCCGCTTTAGCTGTGCATGTTTCCGCTGCCTTGAAGGACATGCAGTCACTATGATGCACATGAGAGTAAACTGTGTACAAGTTCAGTGGATAATCACAATATTCAACCCTCATTAAGTGTGCAGGCCGTTAAATTTGAGACCCATGGCGGACAACACCTGATCAGATGGTACCGATGTCCAGGGATGTTTTTAAACGGATGAACTCAAGAGTATAAATCAGTCACAATGCTTTCTGTTGGTTAATGATGAACGTCTCTACTTCTGTGCCCTCAGTTACATATTCTGGTTTTTAATGACACTATAATTTTCCATCCTCTCCTGCGTTCTCCTGTTCACATGTCGTTTAACACAAAACAACATGAGTTGTTTTCTGAAACACACGTCTCTGAATATTGTCGCAGACCACCCTCCTGATTGTACTGAAAACAATGGTTCCCACTGAAGAATGTGCTGCAGAGTTCTCAGAGCGGAGATCGTCAATGCCTTGACGCTCGGCCCTTAAATAAAACCGCAGGCAGCTCATGAATATCAATCGGCTCATCAGGACTGGACATGTTTTGACACTGAGCATTCCAGGAAACGTAGAATGTCAATGTTTTTCTGTGGTTGATTATGTACATGTTTGGATTGAACTTCCTTTATGCTAAATTAGTTTCCAGAATGGCGGCCCATGCTGCTTTCAGGCAGACCCCTCTGTCTCTCTTTCACCATGTTCAATATAAACGTCACATGCCGGCGGACATGTTTTGTTGACATGGAGCTGTAGTTATGGCAACCCAGCAGGGTCACTGGGTTTGTGTATACAGCCAATGTGTGTGTGAGGCAGACTGGTGCACAGTGATTATTAAAATCCAGTTTATCATATTTGTTTTAATAGATAAGTTCTACATGGCTACTTAAATCTAATGTGTGTAGAAAAGGTCGCACTATTTGGACCTAAGCTTGTTCTGGATAAATGGAGAAGTTTCCATAAACATGGCTGTGTCACCGAGATAAAGCACCTTATCACGAGCTGTCGTACTAGGTACCCAGCGACATTGTACAAAGTGGATTATGAAGGACACATCTTTCGTATTATTGGGGAACAGCTAATCAACCATTTAAATAAAAATAACTGACCTTTTAATCAGCTCATTTGCGGTATTGAAATCTCATTTTCATAACGGAACGTAAGGAGATTGTCCGGTTCAAGGGAGGGGTGGCATCTGTGAAGAGCGTTCAGGAGGCAGGACCTGACCTATAAATAAATATGGAAAGGAAAGTGTTGTTGTTTACAGCATCTCGACACATTTGTCGCTCCTTATCGCCACCAGCTCTAGAGTCTTTTCAGGTAATTTTGCTGCAGTATTCTCACATAGGTCACTATTTTGTGGACATTTTATCAGGGGGCTGAACATTTCAGGAAAATACCCAAACTTCAGTGCAGGTCTGAAATCAGCTTATACTTTCTGTGCTAAAAAAAAAAACTGCAGCACATTTTGATCCATGTGTTCGCTTCCTCTACTCTTTGCATATTCATGCATCACGGGCAGCACTGACAGTCTCATTTTGTCCCAGCTCTGGTGTTCAGTGGGCAGCCTGCCATCGCGTCACATTGAGAAGTCCTTGTTGCCTGCTTGGCATCGTTATGAAAGCCCGGTCAGAAGTCAACCCTAAGTGGTCCGACTGTCTCCCAGGGCAGGATCTGCTTACACTGGGAAGATTCTGATGAAGAAAGAGGGGAGTGGGGTAAAAGAGAGGGAGGAAGATGAATAGAGGGTCAGAGAGAGAGAGAGAGAGAGAGAAGAAGATGGGACACTAATTAGGGAGAGAAATGAAGGAGGGGGATCTTCAACCTCTCTGCTTTTTTTTATTCAGTGTGAACAGTATAAATAAAAATGTTGTCATGCAGCTGCACAGGCCATTCTGATCAATGATTGGTGGAGAGGCTCATCCATCTCATGACTGTTGACACTGGGCTGTCACTCAGCTGTCAGCTCAGTCCCAGGCACCAACAATGACTCCCAAAACACCGTACATCACCATTCACAGAGCAGCTTCACACACTTTCTCTGGGTCTTTTTCATATAACATATATCTGTGTGTGTTTCCCTGCTCCTCATCTAAACCATTGTTTTCAGTACAGATGGGAAACTCTTTGTTTCAAATGTTTTTTGTTTCCAAGAAGATATATATCATCTTCGCTGAGAAACAGTTGAGTCGTTACAGAACATGATTTTCAAACGGGAGCCCCCACACAACCTTCCCTACCCCAGTGACTCATTTACCTCTCTCCCTTAGTGCCTCCTTTTGTCTCCATATCTCCTGTCCCCAGTCCTGCCCCTCTCCGTTTCCCTGTCTTCACCCCCTCCTACTCACTTCCCATACGCACTGTTTTTTCTTAGCGCCCTCCGCTAGCCCTATCTCTTTCTCTTTTTGTTTACTCCCCTCCTTCGCAATAGTCCATTCCCATAAACCTCTCTGTGCTTTCCAACCTTCCCTGTGCTCTCATTTTTTCTGCGACCCCCTCTCCTTCTCCTTCCCTCCTCTCATTCATTCATTTATCCTCATTGACACATTGACACCCTCATTCAGCCGGAGGGGTTGACACGTCATTTGTTTACTTCACACTGACACGGCCTGTTTCTATAAAGTCTCTGCTTTAGCTTTTTCTTTCCTTTCTCTCTCAACCGTTTGAAAATTGTCAGATACGTTCAGACTCTCACTAGCTTGGTTTCGATCATCATCTTATCTGATAGATCAGGTTTATCATTGAAATGTAAAACATCCAGCCTTATTTACATTTCTTTGTCATTAGGTTTAGATAATGATATTTTAGGAATCATTTCTATTTCATTGAATATATAATACAATTTATTAGTGTCACAGTCCTCCATCATTCCAATGAAGGAATCGGTCAGCATTTAGTGTAATACAATATCTGCTTTGATTTTGACAGTGACATTGGAAAATCATTATTAATTATCACCTGCTTTCTTTTCCTCTCTCTCTCTTACTCACTTCAATCCCACAGAGCCAAGTACACAGTGTTAGTCCCTGCACTGTGGAATACTGAAGTCCAAGACTGGGAGATTAAATGTATGAACAGTCTGGTGCTGGACGAGAGCCACCATGGATCCAAAACAGGTAACACACACATTTGCAATGCCATAGATCACTATTGGAGACCATAACCACTATTTCACTTATCTTAACCTTAACCACTGAACCAAAAATCTGCGTTTTCTCACCTGGGTACTCAGCTTTTGTCCCCAACTCAAAGCAGTTGTTCTTAGGCAGAAGCTTATAATGCAGAGGGACACTGGGGACCACTCACAACACAGTCACTCAAACTCCAGTACCTCGTTCAGCCTACATCACTTAACCTTCAGTGGCACCCATGCAGATCCTGTTGCAGACACACAGTTTTGTTGTCCGGTCTTAACATCACCTTGTACGGTGGTCCGACCTTGGGGACGATATCTCCATCTTGTTCCTGAGAACCCTGATACAAAAGGAGGAAACAAACAGTCCTTGTTCAGTCCTTTTCACTTATCTTCTCCAGCTTACAAGTTGTTAATTGTTGGTTGGTAGTTTTGTTTAGAGATAATGGTCTTTTTTCTTAGTTTACTATCTTATAGGATTTTCATTTTGTTATTTCATCACAGTACATGTTTTAATTTTGAAATGTGCAGCAATTAATCAGATGCTGAAATGACAGAGTAAAAAAAAAGATGTATATATTGAAATATTGTCAGTGATTTCTTAGATGTCGTTATTGAACCTGTTTAATAAGAGAAATGTAATTGAATGGATGTTGAACAGACAAGGCAGATAAAATGAGAATAGGGTGAAGGAACATGAGCAGAGAAAAAAACAATTAAATGGATAGGATCAAAGAAAAGTCCACAGCTGGACGATACTGTGACACAGCTGGATGTTGTGTGTGTCACTGGAAAACCCTGTTATTTGCAAATGAGGCTAAACCAGAGGTTTATTGTCTTACTCCAGTATTTTACCACAAAGTCTTAACACAGTTATTATCCCTTTGTTTTTATTAATAGTTGTTGTTGTGAACTCATTGAGTCCGGTGATGCTGGGTCATTCAGTTTGACTTTGTCTTTACAGGTTTTGTTTTGTTTGGTAATAGTTAGCGGGACAATTTAAAGAACCAGAACTAAAAGGGATTTTTAAATGAACCGTGTGTGTGTGTGTGTGTGTGTGTGTGTGTGACCTGCTCTAACAGGACAGATCAAAGACCTTTTTGAAGTTTGTTCAGATATCACCTCCATGAGATCTGGGAACGCGTCACCACTTGAGTCTCATCTTCACAAAAGGCAGACAGATTGGAATGCAAACCTGATGTGCATGTATGTGCGTTGTCACAGTTATGGTTGTGCGTGCATGCGTGCGTTTGTGTGTGTGTGTGTGTGTGTGTGTGCGTGCGTGCATGTGCGCATCCTGAAAAGAAAAAAAGCTGCAAGGATGAGTCACAGGCTGGTGGCTGCAGGGCTGCTTTGATTTTCAATGCAGCTGGGAAAAAGCTGTGTGTGTGTGTGTGTGTGTGTGTGCGTGTTGCAGTTTGGGACAGAAGCTGATTTTTGTGTTTCCAGGATATCAATAGAAGTCTTTGTAAACATGTTTTATTTCCATTTATATACGAGAGGGTAGTCTTTCAGTTTGAGAGCAGGACTTCCCCTAACCAATGAAACCCCACGTGTAGTGTTGACAAATGAAATTGTCCGGCCCTTGTTGTGGGTGTGTTAGCTGCGATTCTTTCAGAGTCCTGTACGGCTGGTTTCCTAAACCATGTTCATGCAGTGACATTCAGCTAAAGTGAAGCTCCACCTATGACAATGTTTGTGTGTGTGCATGAGAGGGAGAGAGAGAGAGAATGAGAGCATGACAGAATGAGTTGTGTATTTGCTCAAAGGGCAGAAGAATCTGAGAGAGCATGAGAAGTTTCCTTTCAGGGCAACTAAAAGCCACAAAAGCGTGTTTTATGGTGGGATAATCCATCACCCAGTGTTGTGTATGTGTGCGCACCTGTGTGTGGCTGTGTGTGAGTCAGGATGAGTCATCCTTATTTGCTGGCCTGTCAGACTGTCTCGCCCTCAAGGCAGCAGGAGAAATGAGCTGATTCATTCCCTGCTCCTGCGACCCAATCCCACATTCCTGTACTCGCTCTGTGCACTTTCACTCACCGTCTCTGTCACTGACACGGTCACAACGTTGTTACAAATCCTGTGGCGTGTGTTTCACACCCCCGCTAACAGTTCAGGACCTCGGCTCTTAAACATTGACCTCAAACGCTTTTTTTTTTTTTTTTTAAATTCTGCGGAGGGTTTGGACGTGACTGAAGGAAGAACCCATTAAATTTTGGTAAGGATCAGGGGCCA